GGGGGAGAGGGGGGAAGCTAGTATACCCGTGGCCTGGAACGAAATGTCCACCCGAGCTCACGAGTAGGAAGTGCCCGAGTGGCTTGGCAGCCCAACGTGTTTTTAAACGCAACTTCCACGTTCAAAGAAGCGAGCGATACGATTTGCTGCCATTTTTTGAGATCGCTTACGATTCACTTACCTACGTCGAGGAAATGCTGCTTTCCCCAATAAGGTGACAGCTTGGAAAAAAAAGGCGTAACATAACACCGCTGACTTCATTCGCTGAGTTAAGTTTTGCAAAACTTTCAGTCACGTGACTTGGCTGCCGAGCAAGAATTCTTAACAACCTGCGATTCTGCCCAGTGTTTGGCGCTCGAGATTATTGCTCTCGAATGCGCGCATTCCTGTTGCTCCACCGGGTACGCCGAGGGTGAGCTTTCGTGAAAGTACCCCGGGTGACGACGGAGCTGCGGGACGAGAGAGGGAGGGGGAAGCTTGACATATTGAGCCGGCAGGATAAGCGATTGTTCAAGCCGCGTAATGATATCGAGGCAGTGCGTTATACTTCATTAAGTTCGAGCCGCGATGGACTGAAGTTGCTCAGGTTGATCGAGACGATGCAGATCGCAACTTACGCGTAACGTAATCACATTCTCTTCGTCGACGAATATCCACACTAGAGGTTTTAAGAGTCGTAATAGGACTCTTACAGCGACTACGCACTTTGCACATTCAACGAAGGCAATTCGAAACTTTACAGGTCCTCGACATTACTACCATCAATCGGTAAACCTAAGCTTCTCACAGGTTAGAAAATTATTTTGCGCGTCGAAGCCCAAAAATACGCTGAAATTAGTGACATTTTCTTTATCTTGCCGAGAGCTCATGTTGTTTCGCGCATGAACAGAACTTACGAGAAGATGGTAAATCGACGTCCGGGCGATGTAGCGCGAGGAGGCGTAAAAGGAAAGCTAATAGGCCAATGTCGTCTCGTGGACTATAGCATCGAGCAAGCGATTGTGCAGAAACTCGCGAAGATTCCCAGGAGAGTCTCGACGACGTGGCCCTCGCGTCCATGAGGCCGATAAAAAAGGGCCGACGCAATCCCACGTCCCGCGACTAAATTAGCAAATAAAATTAAAGGGAACGCACTGTATCTCGAGCCGAAACCTCCTCCTGATTACAGAACCACATTACCTGATCCTCGAGTACGTGATGTACGGCAAGCTGCTGGCCTATCTACGCGACCACCGTACTCGCCAGGACTTTTATAACTTCAGCGAGGACTCGGCCGCTCTGACATCTCGCGACCTCACCGTCTTCGGCTACTGCGTCGCCAGAGGAATGGAGTACCTTGCATCAAAGAAGGTAAGAGACTTATTATTATACAACTTTATATGTTTGATGATTGCGAGCTTGGTGAGCTTTCATATTAAGGCTCGACTACGGCTCTCAATGTACCGCCCGATGCTCCAAGAAGGCGTACCGATGCTTAATTCGAATGGAAATACTCCGAGCCTAGAGAAACATTTTGAGAATACATAAGTGTGCCTGAAGACGGAGATTCGATGAACTCGATTACTCTTCTGCTAAATACTTGGGATGGTGCGCTTAATTGCTTGGTTGAAAGCAATGATTAATGGTTAACTATTCGAGAAACGTCGAGAGCAAGGCGCTCCCTGAAACTCGATAAAAAAAAAAAAAAAAAACAAGCATACAAACAAACAAGTAAAGCAAAAGCAAAAAAAGTAAATAAAAATGAAAAGGCTGCTGTTGTAAGGCATTTATTTTACAATCAAAAGGAGACAGCTTTCGAGAAATGTAATCTTTTCGTTGATGAGAGAGCAAACATCGGTCGCTGAAATTGTCGCTCCTTCTCCCGTACGCGCGCCCATGTAAGTCATCCAATTGAAAAAGCAGGACTGCTCGCACTCTTCCGTCCTTTCTCTTTAAACTTCTTCTTTATTCGTTTGCGGGTGTGTGTGTGTGTGCGTGCGTGCGTGTGCGTGCGTGTGCGTGCGTGCGTGTGCGTGCGTGCGTGTGCGTGCGTGCGTGTGCGTGCGTGCGTGTGCGTGCGTGCGTGTGCGTGCGTGCGTGTGCGTGCGTGCGTGTGCGTGCGTGCGTGTGCGTGCGTGCGTGTGCGTGCGTGCGTGTGCGTGCGTGCGTGTGCGTGCGTGCGTGTGCGTGCGTGCGTGTGCGTGCGTGCGTGTGCGTGCGTGCGTGTGCGTGCGTGCGTGTGCGTGCGTGCGTGTGCGTGCGTGCGTGTGCGTGCGTGCGTGTGCGTGCGTGCGTGTGCGTGCGTGCGTGTGCGTGCGTGCGTGTGCGTGCGTGCGTGTGCGTGCGTGCGTGTGCGTGCGTGCGTGTGCGTGCGTGCGTGTGCGTGCGTGCGTGTGCGTGCGTGCGTGTGCGTGCGTGCGTGTGCGTGCGTGCGTGTGCGTGCGTGCGTGTGCGTGCGTGCGTGTGCGTGCGTGCGTGTGCGTGCGTGCGTGTGCGTGCGTGCGTGTGCGTGCGTGCGTGTGCGTGCGTGCGTGTGCGTGCGTGCGTGTGCGTGCGTGCGTGTGCGTGCGTGCGTGCGTGCGTGCGTGTGTGTGTGCGCACCGGTAAGTGTCTTATCGCTTCCTCGTTCGGCCGTACGAAAGTGAGCCGGGCAGGTTCTCCGCAATGGAGCTGCTCGGAACAGGAAAATTAATCTAGTCGAATGCGGTGCGCATTATAAGGAGGAGCTCGTCCAGGCTTATCGCTCGCGGAAAATTCAATAACGAGATACGAGAATATCTTTCCGAGAGACGTGATCGAGGGATGAGATGGAGTAGCCGTCGCCGTCGTAGCCGTCACCGCCTCCGCCTCCGACACTGTCACCGTCACCGCCACCGCCACCGCCACCGCCACCGCCACCGCAATGTTACCATGAAAACATTGGGTTTCGGGATGACGAGTATTTGTGGTGGCGACGTAAAGCAAGAGAAGAATGTCGACGCTAAGTCGACCTTCGTCGTTTTGGCTGGTAATTGTACGCCTTGCGAAAGCACGTGTACTTAAGATGAATTTGTTGGCACTTTGGGTCGTGACGCTGTTCTTATTGTTTTTGAGGCTCGACTTTTTCAAGTTGTAACGAATGAAAACAAATTAAATAAACGGCAAAAGCACCTTAATGAAAACCAGTTTTACATTTATTTATAAGCGCTGAGAGTCTTTTATTTTAGTTCCACAATCATAATAAATAATTTCGTAAGGCCTTAGAAAATACACGTTATCTTGCCATCAAATTACTTCTATTCTTGGTGTCGAATTTTAAGTGTGAAATGTAGGATTTTGATAAATGATTTCAGTTGTTGTTGATCTACACTATACGTTGAAAGGATTTATTTTTATTTCTTATTTCATTTTTTCTTTTTTCACTGCTATGATATTTTACGGATATTTTAAATTACATTCTAATTCACAGTTATTATTTAAACTGTTTTACAATTTTTTATAAAATAGATTTGCTATTATTTAACCGTATTAAGCGTAAATATAAATATTTTTTTTTTTTTAGCATTTGTTAATTTAATGCCCCTCCCCCTCCCTTATTTAGCAAACTAGCAAAGTGTTTATGCACCAATATTAAAATTCAAAATTGTCAATAATATTTCCAATAAATACATAGTATATGTAATATATGTTTATATGTATATATATCCAATATACATGTAGTCGACTTAAGACTTTTTTTTTTTTTTTAAATTTTTTTTTTTTTTTTTTTTTTTTTTTTTTTATAAAACATGCCGCTACTTATAAAGCCATAGCAATTTATATATAGTTGCTATTCTTATCTTAAATGGATATTTTCTTAGATAAATAAATATCTTTGTGTGTTATATCCATTTCTTATAAATCTTAAGACTCGATTTAAAATTATCATATTAATCATCATAAAAATTACGTATCGATGGAAACGCATTTAAAGCCGTAGGCATCATTAAAATAACCGCATATTGCTTATATTTAAAACCTTTCGATGTAATTAGTTTTAAGAATTTTCACGTAAATTAAAGTATGTTCTGCATTCGTAATGATTATGTGATAATAAAACATAAAACAATAATAAATATTCAATTTACGTTTTTCGCAAAAGGACTCTCTTCGTAAAACTCTGTTTCTCTATCTCTCTCACCTCTCTCTCTCTCACCTCTCTCTCTCTCTCTCTCTCTCTCTCTTTCTCTGACTAATTGTAATTTTAAATTGATTCTTAATTAAACTTAAATACAATAATATTTACAGTATTTATCATACTAATAAGTTTGATGTCAGTTTTTCTGATTGTAATATAAGATTTGCATGCATCATTAAGACTTGGCTCGCTCGGCACACGTATACGCTTATACAGAGTTTCGAACATTAACCAAGTTATTTGTTACTTTTCTTTGGAACACTTATATTATACCAGTTTTAATTTCAATCGAAATCAGATAAACAAAAACAAGCCTGGGCGTATTTGTCAGCGCGCTAACCCATACCCTTTTCTTCATATTTCAATAAATTCTACTTAAATCACCAAACAGCATCAATTTGTTTATTTCGCCTCATGCAAACTGAGCGGCGACGATAATCAGATCCTATACCATTAGCATACGAAATACTTACACGGCATCCTTCTCCCCCTTCGTTGTCAAAACGCTCACTATCCTTCCCCTCCCAGCCCCCTTGCCAATTGTCGACCTCTATCTTGCTCTCTTGGATGTACTACGCATTTCCTTGGGTTCGACAGCTTTCTTCTGTTTTTAGTCGTCTCGCATCATCGCTATAATCTCGCGCGCACTCTTGCGCACGCAATTCATTTCACATGCACAGCACCTATGCGATTAATTATGCACACATTGTAAGGACTACACTCTGGCCCTCGCAGCCGCCCTATTTCACCCTACCGAAACGGCAGCTCCTCACAAGCTCGTACAAGAACGGCGCGTACTGGGACATCGAGATAAAGATTACGCGATCGCGCTCTCAGCTCGCACACGCACGCACGCACGCACACACACACGCGCACTCGGCGTTTCAATTGAGACGACAAACTGTAATTACGTTTGCTCACGATGCATATCGCTTCGCAATCTCAAGTGCGCGCCTGGGTGCGTGGGTGCGTGAGTGCGTGAGTGCCTCGGCTACATCTCGGCTAAATCATCCTCGTACGCAGAGTCTTACGTAACGCCGTTTTTCCCCGATCGCCGTCTTCTGGCATCAATTTGTTTGCCCCGGCCGGTCCACAATTTTGCGACACAAACTATGAGCCTACCGCGTCTCCGCTGCACCAAAGACTTGATTTAGCTCGACTTATCAACCTCCGGCTTCATTTAATTCGGAATAATCATAATGCCGAGCCGCTGTTTCTCATTGGACGCGCGAAAATGATCAGACATGTAATTTAGCTTATAAATGCAATTTTAACAGCGACCGATAAAGCGACCCCGACATTTTATGCATCCTTCTATTCAGGTTTCTTTAATTACCACTCGCTCGCTTCGTCTGTCAAGTTCGTTCGCTACTGTCAAGCGCGTCATGTTTACATCGTCATTACACGGCCTCGTCACGTACAAAACGGCACGACCAAGTGCTAATTTCTTACGCTCTCCTTCAACGCTACGGCATTTAAATACGGGCGCATCGGCTCACGCTCGCTAGCGCTTCTGTACTTTTTGGAATGAACCTGGAAAATGTCATTGATCGGCAAACTGGAATCAGGTCGAAAATTTGCTTCGGCTAATTGCAGTGCATTATCGACTCGCTCGCTCGAGCGCTTCCGTAGCCCCGTTACGCTCGTAAAGCCGCGCCCTCGTAAATCCAACTTGACACGGTCATAAAGAGTAAGTCGCCGCTCTGTTAAGGTGGCAAGGTGGGTCCGGGTTGAGGAGAGGGAGATGGGAGGTGGATGATCGAGGGGCATAGGGGCGAGCGTTCAATTATTCGCAAGAGTCGGCATGTATGGCCGGTGGCTGATAGCGCGCAATCGTCGCAATAATGTGCATTGTGTCTCGTCCGGGATGGATTTAAGCGACGCATAATGCGAGGCCACGGCTCGCGGCTAATTAAAAGCGCCATCCTTCCGTGGCTCGCGCGATCGAGGTGCATCCGTTCGCGCGCGCGCACACACACACCTGTACAACTGCCGTGAGATAGGCGCGCGCGAGAGGCCATCTTGTGTCAGATTTGACGGCGGCAGCCTCGCGGCTATCTTCGGCCCGACGAAGGGCATCTCGCGGGATTAAGAGGGACGGGGACGCGAACGCGCTAACTCACTTTGTACTCTGCGACGATAAATAACAATTGCGCGCTCTCGGTTCTCATTATCGCCGCGCCTGCGCGCTACAGATAGATAGATAGATACAGAGAGAGAGAGAGAGAGAGAGAGAAACTGAGCTCGTGTCCCACTTAGCTCATGTCGCATTTGCGACTTTACACCGACATTGGGCGCGATACCTCAGGGCAAGAATTATTGAACTCAACTACACACACTACGTACGTGTGTAAGAGGGAAAGACAAAGATAGATAGATAGATAGATAGATAGATAGAGAGAGAGAGAGAGAGAGAGAGAGAGAGAGAGAGAGAGAGGGAGGTAGGAATGTTCGTGTCTGAAGAGGAGGAATAATATTCACAGCTCTTTTTTTTACTTTTACTTATATATTTCGTTTTTACTCGTTCGTTGACGATCCTCGACTACTTATAATCTAATTATCTGTATGCAAAGACTACTCGGGACGATCTTGGGCACTAAATTAACTTTTCAATTAATTCAATCGATACTAACTCGATGAACGGTCTTCCTTGTTAAATTTAATTTAAGAAGAGTGATACTGCGGATGCACATGACTTGTAACTAACGATTTGAAAAAGCAGAATAATAATGGTTATTGCTCTAGCCTATTAACGTTTTTATTCGACTACACTTCATTAATAACTCATTAATGTTGGATTTTATTTCATTCTTTCATTATTTTTGTTAAATGATGATTGAAGGAAACATTAGATTGACGCAGCTTACAATGAGACTGAGATATATTTAAAAATTTTTTCGTAAACTTTAACACAAATCGAAATTTTCTAACGATCGAAAATAATTGGCCTTTTTGTTACAAAATGTGAATAGTAAAAATTGAGATTGAAGAAAGGAGGAGTTAAAATTTCTAATTGCGCCTCAATAGTGCTGGATGGGCTTTTTAGCTTGGAAAAAAGTCGCGTTTTATTTTGCAGCGAAGGCATTGCAGACAAACTAAATATTTATCTGACAGTGAGAAACGGATGGCCCAAGCCCTCCCCAAAACCTACAAGCGCCAAGCCACAATTAACGTCGCTCATTCTTCTTCGTTATTTCAGATCATCCATCGGGACTTGGCGGCGCGTAACGTTCTGGTGGACCACAACAAGCTCTGCAAGATCGCTGACTTCGGGATGTCGAGGTTCGCCAACGAGGACGGCGAAGTGATCGAGACGAGGCACGGAAGGAATGCCCTGCCCATCAGGTGGATGGCGCCGGAATCACTCATCTATTCTCTCTTCACCACGAAAACCGATGTCTGGAGCTTCGGAATCTTGATGTGGGAGATTGTGACGCTCGGTAAGCCTTCTTTTTCAGCCGTTTCTTTGATGGACGTGCTCATTAGCTCGCGTACGCACTGCTCAATCAAAGGGAGATTTAATTTCCAAGAAACGATGTCTTCATTAGTCTAGTCCAAGCATCCTCGACTCGCCTCAAATGTGACATTGTACTTGCTGCATTCTATGGTTGATAATGACGTGGGTTTTTTTCTCAATAGAGGAAAAAAGAGTTGACGAGATCGCTGGATAAACTCTGTTACGCGAATTTCCTCCTCGATTGTTTCATTATTCGTCAAATATGTTGACGAATGGATGATTTACGCACAATTGAAAAGCGCGAAATTCGTGTCGCTGCAACGATTGGACGCAAAATCTTATATACTCTTATTATTCATTTTTCTTTTATTATATGTCCCTCAAGTTACTATTGATTCAACAAAATCACCTCCTGCGCTTCTTAGCCATTACCTTAAGGCCAAAATTCCACCGAATCTTTATTTCAGATATGAGGCATAATGTGTCTAAATAGGCTTTTACAACACATCAATTAGCGTCGATATTATTAATTATTGTGGCATTAACTATAGAAAAAACCATTTCATTTCACGTTGCTTTAAAATGGCGAAAAAATTAAATTAAATTAAATAATTGCAATGGAACAAGTATTTTATTAAAGTAAGGTAAAAGATCTTAGCCATAAAACGAAAGTTGATGCATAATCCCCGAATGGCCCACTGCTGAGAATCCGTTATCTCTTTAATGCGTTTTTTGGCCTTTTATTTAAGGATATAAATTTCACCTACTACACGTGCTTTATATTTATATCGATTTTCATTTTGTCTTTCTTTTTATCGGGCTTAATAAATTTCGAGCCCAAAGAACATGAAATAAAGTGCACACGCCGTTCAGCTCAACCGCAACATTACCAATCCATTACACATTGTCGAGTCCATTTAACCGCCCATTTATTATTTAATAAAGACGAGCGAATCCCTCATTTCGATACCTGGAGCAGCAATCACTAATAAGGCATTCGCGCCCTAACCGCTCCTCGTAAACGTAATATCGAGATCTCTTGGACGCCCGTAACCATCGTCTTTCTCAGCAGATTAAAGCCTCGAATTGAAATAACGCTTTGTCGAGTGTAAAGGAAGAAACTCGCGCGGAAAACGGCAATCGGAGCATAATTATGACCTTCCAGCCTTTAATACTAATATAATAATTTCACGCATTTTTCATCTAGGATCAACGCCGTACCCGGACATGACGGCCAGGGAGGTGATGCGCAGCGTCCAGAGCGGCTACCGGCTGGAACGACCCTCCCATTGTCGTAGCGAGCTGTTTCGCGTGATCGCGAGATGCTGGCACGCGGATCCCGACCGAAGGCCGGAGTTCCAGGTGCTGAGGCGCGACCTCGCCCAGCTGCTCGAGGATAACATGAACGGCCACTACGTCGATCTCGAGAGCTTCGCGTCCGAGTGCACCGATTGATCGTTGCGCCGATTGCATTGTCTCGGTCGGCAGAGGCAGAATGTACGAGCGATCTCTTTTGCCCTTGGATGGCGAGCCCCGGTGCCGGGATTTTCATAGCACATGCTTCTGAATACGGTGGCCTGGGGAGGCGGGTGGTGGTTGGGGGGGGGGATAGGGGGGGGGGGGGGGGGGGGGGGGGGGGGGGGGGGGGGGGGGGGGGATAGGATCGCAAAACCTGGGCTATTATGAAAAATCATATCCAGCTCTTCTGCTATTGCTCACTGTCCGGGATTCCGTCAGAGTCGATGGTAACCTCATCGTCTTTTTACTTATTAAGGGCTAAGGATTGACTGGACGATTCTTTATAAAGATTCTGTATACGTGTAAATGTCTCGTGCTATAAAGTATTTCAATCAAATATTTTCGTCGTGTGGAATTACGAATGAGATGAAACTTCCCCTTCGGGCAATCGAATAGTAGAGCGAATTACTTTTATAACTGTCGAATGTATAATAAATTGATATATTGAGGCTGTCTTACTTTTTTTTTTCCTGTTAAAAGGTTGCTTTTACCTTTAAAGCAAGATACTTTAGTAATTCTGTATTTGAGCTAGAAGAACATCAAACAAACGAAAATTTTATTATACGAAATGCTTATGTTGTAAGATGGGTCGTTGCGTTCAAGGGCAAATCGACTCATGACGGCAGATTCTCCAAAGAAAGGCATTAAAGAAAAAAGAAAAAAACGTTAAAATCAAAAAGTAAGGCGAGTGCTAAACGTTTCATCTGCACTCGTATACACACGAGCTTGTCAAGAATGCAAGTATTTTTTTTCTTTTTTTTCTTTTTTAAATTAAATTTAGCTGTTAATTAAGGATATCGACATCAGTGATGTTCGCGCCATTTTACAAGCTCATGCTCCATACTTATTTTATACATATTTATTGGCCGGCGAAGGTGCAACACTTTCAAATCTCTATGTAAGATTTAGGAAAAACTCATTTCCGGTCTTTTAATGTCTAATTCTTATTTTCTATTGTTTTTTTTTTAACGCTCTCTTACAATAATAAATGAAAATGATAATGAAAATGAAAAAAAAAAAATTTATATATATATATATAAATATATACACACACACACTTGTAAATAAATGTAATCGAACATGTTTATGTTTCGAGTCTTGAATCTTTTAATCAAACGTATCGTAAGGAAACGTGTTCACGTCGATAAATTCGTGAGTTGACAAGAATTTGGCGATTTTCGCGGTACGAGTTAATCATGCGTTTAATTTTAATGATTCTAGTCTTTCGACAACATTTGGAGCTGAGATCAAATTGCCAACATTTATTCATTTCTCTTTTTCAATAATCTTTATTATTTTGATCCGAGCTCCACTCTTGTCAGATAATGTTTTATTTAGTTTTTATGTTAATACATATTTTTCGATTGTCAAAGTACTTATGCGTGTATTTGATTTAGTTGAATGATCGATAATTATATATCCGTCCATTAAAAACAATAAAATAAAATAAAATAAAATAATAATAATAGTTATAATAATAAGAAATAAAACTTATTGTGATTGTACAAATGTGAAAATTATGTAAAAAAAAAAAGTTGTTCTGTAAACGAAATAATACTGTATTAAGAAATCTGTGTGAGTAAATGTTAAGATATATTTTTGAAGCATTGCATTTTATTTTTCTAACCAAACCAATGATTATAGTACCTAAATGGCTATTGCAAATAGTTAATACATAGAAATCGCATAAGAAAGGCTTATAAAACATGTAAATGACGACCCCTTAAACTTAAGTTACTTCGATAACAGCGGTTAAGTCTTTTCTACTTCGCTGATCATTGAAGTCCCAGCAATGCATGAATTGCACTTCACTTTCTTCAAGTGTTGTGACGCTTCGCAATTTCATTAGTATCACTGAAATCGCTAGTGTGGCTTCATAATCATTTTGAAAAGGACATTAATCATGTTCAAGATCGTACGTCCATTTCGAAGATTATGTACATATTCGTCAATTGTTCTGAAAACTACAGTGACGTGTAATCGTGTAAAATTTCATTCAAATAAAGCCTAAGTGCAAACACTTTTAAGCCGATAATTATGAATGTAAAATTTTTTAATTAAAATACTTATTTCATAATCCAAGATTCATTTTTGTTAAAATTGCCTTTTCAATTATAATTGTTCATAATAATTTTCTTAACACGACACTCAAATAAATAAAACAATACTGACATACCATTTTAAATATCTATTCGAAATTTAATATTTATTCATTACAGCATTTTAAATGGCTGAAACAATTTTATTTCAATGATCATCGTATCTGAATTACAATGTAATTCTTATTTTTTCAATTCAGCTTTTAATGGGCAGAAACGTCACCTACCGATGATTATGCATTATGATAACGTACAAGATCATACATCAATTCTTCTGTACTTCACAGATAAATGATTTGTAAGATATAATGAGGTCTTTTTAAATTCCAATATAACATCTAGTAATATAATTTATTTTTTTTAATCAATAACGAGTCATATATGAGGCTTGTATGCAATTTTTTTCTTTTTTTTTTTTTGCCTTTTATAAAGCAATAAGAGATTTATTTGGTTCGTATCTTTCCAATGGCGATCTTTGCACAATTTACAATACTTTATTTATGACGAATCATCTTGTATAAAAAAATGAAAAAATAACAAAAAAAAAAAAAAAAAAAAAAAAAAAAAAAAAAAAAAAAAAAAAAAAAAAAGAATTTGTAAAAGTCAAGAGGTTGTCAAGAGGATCATTGAGTTATGAAACGTATAATATTGCTCGAAAGTGTGCAGAGAATGAAATACAAGAAACGAAATGAATAGAAAATTTGCTCATAAACCTTACGCGTTTCATTCTCAGCAGATGTGCGTCCTGAAATCATGCAGAAATTATCAGCCTTCGGACTCTAGGATATTTCGCCAGAATCTTCTTTCGAGTGGCATAACCGTATTTTTGCTGCAAACATGAGCGCTCAATTTTAAATACAAAAGAGCGAAAGTAATTTTTTCAAATGATTTGTTTGAGAACCTGGACTTAAAGCTTACACAATTCCGTAATTTAAAATTCCATAATGTAAAATTCTACAGGTGCAATAAATTCTCCTTTTTATTTCTAACTTCTATTCTTATTCAACATTCTATCGTATACATTATGTTGAAATATCTATTAATGTTTTTATTTATATATTTTTTTTTGTTTTTTTGTTTTGTTTTGTTTTTTTTTTTTTTTTTGTTTTATATAAATTATTAGAAATGTTTCATAAACGGGCAATTATGTGAAAAGCTGAGACAAAAATTTCAAACAATTAATTAGAATAATCAGATCTGTATGGACACGATAGCGTATAATGCCATTTACGTAACGCGTGCGAGCTTACTCAATTACAAGAGAATTTGGCAATGTTAAAGGCATTTTAATTAATATTTCAAATAAAAATACGATTGTAATTCAAAAATAAATGTAGATAGCCCATGGTGTTGCAATACACAGTGAAAATGGCCTGCAATGTTTGCAACAACAACTGCATGCTCAATCGGTCAAACTGATTTCCCCGAATGAAAGATGCCGTCGATAAGCGGCGATGCCATATTCGCATCTCACCGCTACGTCTCGAAACTCTCGAAGCGCATGTCGGATGCTGCAGCGAAAGTAAAACGTCTCCGCGCTAGCGACAGTTTCGCCTTCAAACTTGCCTTTACGGTCTCTCTGTGTCGTAAGCCCTTCTCGTTTGCTCGCTTCCGCGCGTGTCCTTAGCGAGAAATTGGACAGTGCGCTCGTTACCCCGAGTTCTAAGCGCTTTTACCAGCGTAAATCGGTATTGTCGCTCTACCTTATCCTTTCTTCAACCCTCCTACCACCCAAAAATCCCATCACCTTCCACTCCCTCCGCTCTCCCATACGGCATCCTCATCATCCACCGCTTCTAACGATTCAATCGGTCGGTTCTTTATCCTTGGACGTGGACCGTCTCGGTGCCGCGTACGAGATCGTTAACGCAAATTGGATCGCATTCCGGAAATCCTTTAACAAGGCCATATCGGAAACGGCGCACCTCGGCCCGCCTAAGATCCCATTAGCATACGTAAATAAACCGAGCGCGAGCTCAACGCGACGCCATTAGCCAGTGGTGTGGTCCGCGCGGCCCTTCGATACACCGGATAAGTCATTTTTGTCCTTACGGCTCCGAGGCTCGCGCTATTTGCCAATGTGCACGACAATGGCCACATAATGCCATTAATCTCTGCTGGGCCATGTTTGATAATTTTCGCGGTCGACAATGGGTGGGAAAGCCTTCTCTTCGCGATTAGCCGATTACTTAGCTCGTATCCTACAACATCCTGTTCAATTATCCTTCAATCATTTATAAAAACGAATCTAACGAATAAACATACGTACTCGGATCTCTAGTCTTTTTTCATCGGTAATCCATTAGCAATTACATGCGAGCGATATTTAACGTCAAATGGAGTTTATTGCTCCAGTGCGGTTGTGCCATTAGCAATCACTCGAACGCGGAGATTTCATTGCCTAAAAGTCACGGCACTTTCCTACCGTCAACGAAAGCGAAAGTTCAATTCAGTTCTGGACACGGAGACGATTGCCCCCTACACTACAGCTACCGTACATCGTTAAAAATCGAAATTGTTATGCAAGGAGACGGCGCGCTTCCTAGACGAGTTCGAGAACTAAGGGCGCGGCATTATAAAATGCATTAGAAGACACGAAGAAGTCAGGGCTGCTCCATTAAGGGCATAACATGCGGGAAACCGCCGAGCGACACAACTTTCCATCGAAGACTCGGATATGCATGCAGGTCTTACGTCAATCAAACGCCAGCCCGGGTAATGGCTTCTGTACGTGGAATTTCAACAAGGAGACCTTACGGCTGCCTGAGCGAGAGACGGCGGAAAATGAGCGCCGTAGCCAGCATTGCGCTCCGTATTTAAATATATTGAAACGTGTGCTAATAAAGATAACGAATCGACCATGGCGATCTCGCGTTTTCTAAAACAATAACAACAACAACAACAACAACAACAACAACAACAACAACAATAGCAATAAAAAGAAAAAGAAAAAGCAAAAG